TTATAAGTTGTTAAGTGTTAGTAATAGTATATAATAATGTTTTCTTATAAGTTGTTAAGTGTTAGTAATAGGAAAGCCTGCAAATATTAATGACATGGCGTACTAAGTCGGTTTTCTTTTGCTAAACTGGGGATTAGCAAAGCAGAAAAACAACTGAGAACGTAACATGTCATTAGTGCTGTAAGGCGATTTCCTTTGTACCTGATGTAGAACCTGTGCTGTGATATGTTTGTGTTCTCATTGTTTTTCTGTTTTGCTAGTCCTCAATTGTTAAATTTATTTCCTGACCAATAATAATGACTCATTTAAAAAAATAAGAGGCTTTATTGTAGTATTCATTATCTCCAAGTAATACCTAGGCAGTGCTACAGCTCTCTATCATTCTATGCTCACTGGTCCAAACAAAAATACTTGTACATTGACAAATTAATCCCATATCAAATCATGTCACATATTTGCTGTCGTTTCTGGGTACCAACTTCCTTGCTTCTTGCATCATTTAAGCCTTCAAGTGCATGACGTCCCTCTACTCTTCTGATGTTCTCATGCATTTCTTCAACTACTTTATCATTGTGAAGATAACAGAAGTTGTGTAGCACACATGCAGCAAGGATAAAATTGGTATCCTCTGCTACATCTTTAAGCACCAGAGCCAGGAGACGCCGCCACCTACCCTTTAGGAGGCCAAATGTATGTTCTATAACAACTCTAGTCACACTGTGATGGTAGTTATATTTTTTCTGTTGTCTTGTTAAATTCCCATAGTCCCTGCAACGGCAAAAGGTGCATTAGTCTCTTAACAAATGTTATCAAGTTACTTTGCAGTAAGTGTTGCTTACTTGTATGGTGCCATCAGCCAGCACCGATTTGGATATGCCTTGTCCCCAACAAGGTGGAACCGATCTTCGTAAACAATACTTCTAGGGCCTTCATTTACTATTTTCTTATGGAAACTTGACAGTGACATTTCCCGACAATCATGTCGAGAGCCAGGTGTCCCAATCGACACATTAGTAAAAACTTTTGTAGCAGTGCAGATACCTGTTGATGTTTAGACATTGCATTATGACAACAGAGAAAGAAATAACCTGACCACAGACATGAAACTTGACAAGCCACATACCTTGAAGTATTGTGGAATGGCTTGACTTACGGTCGGTATATGCAACTTGGTCATTAGCAGGTGCTAGAACTTGGACGTGGCATCCATCTATAGCTCCTATAACACCTGTAATTGTCAGACAGTTAGACATGATTGCTTCAGACGCTCAGAGTAAAATTGTTCCCTTTAACATGAGTGAGCACTGACCAGGGAAACCTGCCCTTTCTCGGAATTGTTGTTGAATTGTTGAACACTCATTTGCTGTTGGCCAAACAATGTAAGTGCTCCTGAGGTCACACAGAATTTTGACTATTAAGTGCACTTCCTTATGCACAGTGGACACGGCAACGCCAAATGTGTCACCAACATCACCTTAGCTCCGAAAAAAAACGAGCGTAACTCTGCTAGTGCCGGAGAACAAGAGTAACTGGCAGCAGCGCGGAGAACAAGAGTAACTGGCAGCAGCGCGGAGAACAAGAGTAACTCCCTATCTAAATAGCCAGGCGTTACTCGAGTTCTCCGCACTGGTGCCAGTTACTCTTGTTCTCCGGCACTGGCGGAGTTACGCTTGTTTTTTTCGGAGCCAACGAATCATCCATTGACATTTGCCGCCCTAAGTACGTTAGTTTCATTAGGACAGCTTTAGTACAATCTACGTGAGCAGCACTGCCACGCACTAGTTTATCGGGGTAAGATGGGCGCACAGCAGTCACTAATTCCCCAAAAGTGTCCTTCTTCATCCTACAGCAAGAAAGTGAAAACAGCATGGTTCACAGAAAGCACAAGGGTTTACAACGATTCACTAACATTAAAAATCATGATGAAAGATATATTACTCTCATCGATTTACCTAAATCGGTCGTGGAAATCAGCATCGAGGTACCGAGTAATCCAATGATTTGTATCCCCAGTAAGATGTCCTAACCTAAAGTGCTCCTCTCTCTGTTTCCTTAACGCAGAAGCAGACGAAGTTGATGACACGGCAGCTGCAGTTAATAATAAAATTTCATCATCGTCGCCCCCACTGAATACGTCTTCCAGTACAGCTGCTAAAACTGCAAATTTTTCCTTTTCCATATTCTAAACTCGGCAGACTTCTCAGACGACGATGTTTTGATTTTGAAATCCCACCACAGCCCGCGCGAACTTGCTACCGCACCTAACCGCACCGCCTGAGTGTATTTTCAATCCTGGTTACTGGTTGTGACGTCAGAGCACTCTACCAGCTGCTACCGCGCTGAGCATCGGCGCTTGTAAATGACGCACGACGTACGGTCGTCCACACTAAACGGCCCGCCGCAGGCGAACGAGTGCGTTGAGCAGGACGGCGACCAGGCAACCTGTGGTGCTCGACGCGCTCTACACGATGGTGACCAGCTCGTCCTGCTCCAGGAAAAGGCGCCGGCGCCACGCCCCCCCAACGTCGGCCCGATAATTAACCTCGGCGGATTTGTGTTTAGTTTGACGGCCTGCAGAAGGCGAACGAGTGCGTGGAGCAGGACGAGCCACAGAGGTGCCGGCCCACTTCGCGGCCTTTGGCACCCCAATCGACCCTCTGCACGTCAAAGTGAACAACCATGTGCTGATGGGGGACAGCATCATGGGTCGAGTCGCTATGCTCGCAAATCCGAGCTGGAAACTCTGCAGGGCAAAGGGTGAGAGCCATAAAAATTCTTTACAGATCACAGTCGGACTAATTTTTTTTTAAATCTTCGGAACGGTGTGTCGCGGTGACGCGGGGTGCGCCTTGGAAACTCCTTGGGCCCTCGCGTCTACGCCATACCCACACCTCCTAAGGGCGTGCGTCTAGTGCGTAGGCAACCT